CCTACTTCCATAGTGATACTGCCTTGGAAACCCAAGGAGGGGTCGCTATGAGTCGGGGCCGACTTGACGGCACATAACAACAACAACTATAACTAAGGGCTTTAATGCTTTAAAGATAGCTACATGTAAAGTAATCTTTTTAAAATTAAGTGATTTCTATGTTCAGCTATATATTTTTTTTTTTTTAAATCTGCTATATTGCTAAATACCCATGAAATTAATTCCTAGGAGCTCTCCTATGCTCATGTATATATGTTCCCATACTCTTGCCAGCTGGCTCTATTTCTTCAAATAGACCAAGTGAGAGGACTGAAATGGAAGATAGAACTAAAGTTAAAATACACTTCAAACCACTGAAACACAGGAGACAATCATCCACAGTAGTACAACAGGAGAAAAATTCAGTGTTTTCCTTCCACTTGGAGCATATTTGGGCTCCGTGGGTAAAAGAACAAAAACAGTGTCTCAGGTTTAGGAACAGCATTTTCCTTTCACAAAGAGGGTCATAGAGGGAGGGGAAAAACTGCCAATTTTGATGAGAACATTTTTCCCAAAAAAATATAAAACCATAAATTATAAAAATTAGTAATAAGACATTATCTGCAGCTCTGGGTAGTTTCCTGACTGAAAAGTTAATGAAGTAAACTGCTTTCTTATGATTTGATACATTATATTAGCAAAATTTTGAGAATGACATGTTCTTCTCAGTTGTTTGGTCCATATAGTTTTAATGTTTGTTACACAGCTGTATTTTTAATTTAAAATCCTGTCCCCCATTCAATCATATAATAAGCAAAATCTGTGTCAGAGGTGGGCATTTACTTTGGATTTCTCCCCTCCTTAAATGCATTTACTCTATTTCATTTGTGATTTGGACTTGAGCTTTAGTGGCGCAGTGGTTAAAGCACTCGGCTACTAACCAAAAGGTCAGTGGTTCAAACCCGCCAGCCACTCCGCAGGAAAAAGATGTGGCTATATGCTTCCGCAAAGATTTACAGCCTTGGAAACCCAATGGGGCAGTTCCAGTCTGTCCTATGTGGTTGCTATGGGTCAGAATGGACTTTACAGCAGTGGGCTTGGTTTCAGTTTAGTTTGAGGTAGAATATTGTCTCAGCACTATCCATGAGGATATGATTCTTCTGAGAAAAAAAGGTTTCACAAGTCTATCAAAGTTAAGACATTATAGAAGGAACTTTCTCCACAAACTCTAAAGATTATTTAAAAACAATATCCTGCAAAAGCCTTCTTCGTAATACCTCATTATGTATCATATACTGCATACTTCCCTAATTTAGAAATACTAAGCTCAAAGTTTCAAAGAACTTACTCCAAATTTGTATCTTGTTGTTGTTGTTATGTGCCGTCGAGTCGGCCCCGACTCATAGCGACCCCTCCTTGGGTTTCCGAGGCAGTATCACTACGGAAGTAGGATTGCCCAACC